ACTTTATATTAATTTAATGACTAAATTGCACAAAATTCACGTATAATTTTATGAAATTTCGTTAAATCTTTTGTACTTTTAAAATTGTGTCAAACTCTCTTATAGTTTTATAAACTCTGCGTCTAATCCTTCGGCGGTCCTTATTTAACAGTATTTGACCTAAATGCGCCCAAATTGTGAATAAATTTTAAAATATTAATTTCTAAACCTCTCAAATTACAACTATATATATATTTTTCTTATATTTAGCCTAAAAAAAGTAAAAATAAACTCTTAAAACCTGATATAAATAACTATTTTTTTAGTATATTTATTATTTTTTTGAAACTAAATACAAGAAAAATAATTATTTATAATTTTAGGGGTTTAAAAATTGAGATTTTAAAATTTATTTGTAATTTGAGCGCATTTAGGTCAAATACCGTCAAATAAGGACTACCGAGGGGGTTAGACGCAGAATTTATGAAACCACAAGGGAGTTTGACGCAGTTTTAGAAGTATAAGGAATTTGGCGCAATTTCATGAAACCATAGGTAGATTTTGTGCAATTTAGCCTAATTTAATTTTTTACATTTGGTTCTATTTTGTAATATTTTAGAAGAATATAATCGATATGTTCATTCAATATATCTCAACGGAACAATTCTCAATAAATATTATTAGAAAAATACAAATGTACATACACATTAATATTATATATATTATTTACTCACAAAAAGTCAATCATTCAATATAAAATATTACTATTTTTTATATTACCAATGTTAAAATATATTTAGAAATAATATATTATATTTATGGTAGTTATCTTATTTCTGACCTATGATTTGTATATCACTATAAATATGTACATAATTTTATTATTGCAATAAAAAATTTCAGCTTCATATTCTAACCACCAACACAATTTTTATATCACACGAAAAAATAAATAAAAATCAATTTATCTAAAAATACTCAATGAGCCGACTGAATATTTTTCATAAAATATCACATCTAAATTACTATTTAATCTAAAAAAAGTACAAAAAAATATATAAAAATTGATAAACCAAAAAATGAAAAAATATATTTAATGGTTGATGAGAGCATAGAGTTCCAAAATTGGGTGTGTGGTCATGTGGAGTAACCATTAATTTACCTTAATTAATTAATTAATTAATTAATTATTTCATGTTTAATTCAAAAATACTTTGATGCTTGAACAATAATTGATTTGTGTGTTTCGACTGTTTTAGATTTATATATATTTAGTACTTCAGAAAAAAAAAATAATAATAATAATTGAGTGTATTTGAATTGTGGATTTGTTTGTTTAGTGATCTAATTTGAGATTTTTATTTTTATTTTTTTATATATATGTAAGATGTAAGAGAAATTGTATTGATAATATATAATATAATATTTTTATGTTGAATTATTAATTTTTTGTTGTAAGAAAACATAATACATTAGTATATTATTTATATTATATGGATATATTTATATATTGTATTATTACTTATTAATCTTCTATCGTGTCAAAAAAATTATTTAGGTGAACAATTCATATATTTGTTAAACATGATATATATATATATATATATATTTTAAAATTTTGTTTTTATAGGCAATTGTGAAAATTGAATAGTACAACTTTTAAGTGAATAAAGTGTGTATTAATGCAAATTATGCTTAGAATGCCTATATATGTATTTAAATAGGGTAAACGGTTTATCTAGTCCCGTTATTGACCCTTTTATCATTTTAGTTTCGTAAGTGGAATCTGTCGCAAATCAGTTCTATAAGTGAAAAATTTTCGCTGTTTTAGTCATCCGGCGCCGGAGATGCCCACGTGGTTCGCCGGAAGCCACGTGTCCGCCGGGTATCGTTGACCTGGCGGACACGTGAATTTTATTTTATTTTTAAAATTTTTTAAAATTTATTTTTAATTTAATTTTATATGTTTTTTTTTTTTTAAATTTTTAATTATGCTTAGAATGCTTATATATGTATTTAAATTGTATATATGGAACATGCATATTATTGCTTATAGTTTATTACACAATTTACCATTGTTTACAAAATTTGTTAAACATTATTCTACTAACATGAAAATGAGTGATGCAATATAATCCATATAATATAATGTTATAACACAGGTTATTTGTATTATGATATTGTCCATTTTCTATTTCATTCATTTTTATTTAAATAATATTTGAATCCTATTTTCTATAAATTTTTTATAGTATTACATAGAATTAGGAAAAAAAAAAAAATTCAAACAAAATAGAGTGATAGTTAGAGAATAATAATTTTGAATTAGAATAATATTGATATTATATTGATAGTGGGTAAAAAGTACGAGTAAAAAACTTTTTTGCACTTGTGAGTGTATTAGTATAAAAACTAGTGGCAATTGTATAATAGTAATGAAAAAGTAAGAGTAGTTTTACAGTGATATAATTATTTATGAAAATGAGACTATTGTTTTGAGACAGACAAAAATGGTAAACAAGACTGTTATATTGGGAGATAGAGAGTATTCTATATTAAAAGCCAAAAAACTTATCTTGCAAGTTAATCAAAATATAAGGTGTTTTTTTTTTTTTTTTTTTTTTTTTTTTTATGATGTGAAAATTTGTAGCTGCTATTTTTTGAATGTGTTTTAAATAAACCTTCGGAAAAATACAATAACTTGTAAGCAAACTTTGTTTGGCAAAAAAGAGTAAGAAGGTGTTGGTAGATTTTAAACCCGTAACTTTGCAATTATGAAATTATATTCTATCTAACATATGCATATTATTTTGTTCTTTTACTATTTCAAATTCAAATTAATAGCATTCATTCAATACAGTTTTTAATAAAAATATAGTACTCATTTCGTCCCATTGAAATATTACTAATTTTCATTTTCGTCCGTCCCAAAACAACGTTACTATTTCCTAATTCAGTAATTGTACTATCTACCTAACATAATAAACACTACAAGAAAAAATCATTTTTGTAACAAAACTTTTTTGTCTCTAAATCTTTTTTTTTTCGTTATTAATGACATTAGAGACGGAATTAGGAACGGAATTACGTTAGCTACGTGAACTTTAGGGACAGAATTCCGTTACAAATATATTATTTTTTTGTAGTGAAATACCTTTCCAACTTACACTATATTACACAAATGCCATTACTTTTATGTTACACAATACTAATAGGGGTATTTTCGTCATTTTCACTACAATCCATTATAATACTAATATTAAAAAATCTATATGAAAAAAACAAATGCCACCCTTGTTCCGGGACCGAGGGAGTATTATTTTTTTTTTATTATAAAATACCATATCAAAATACTATTTAAATAAAAACTTAAATCAACATTATATTTTAAATTAATTTCAAACAACAATCTTACCAGGCAAGAGAGAGATTATAATCCTTATTAGATAATTGTGTTGATATTGTGTTTGTTTTGTGCTAGGTTTAAATTTTGAATAGTTATTTAATTGAAATGTAAAATTAATTTTTAGTTTATAAAAAAAAAAAAATATTTAACTTAATATTTTTTAAAAAAATATATATAAATAGTAAAAATACGATGAAATTTTCGTAACAAACAAGCTATTAATTAAATCTTACATAAAATGAATGAAATTATTGATCATTAAGACAATGATGAGAAAATACAAACCCTAATTAATACGTATTTAATTATGCTGAAAACCCTAATTATAATTAAAGACCACAACGACTTACATATATATATATATAATATTTTCTTTTTAATTACTAGTAGTATTATTATGGTTTGCCACTGAAGCGGACATTATTTATTTAACTCATATTAAAATTAATGACTAAATTGTACAAAATCGAATTTCTTGCAACAAATCTCCTATATTTTTAAAACTGCAGTCAAATTTTTCTATGATTTTATAAACTCTGGATCTAGTTCATCAGTGGTATTTGATATAAATGCGGAATAAATTCATAAAATTACAAATATATTTATTTTTCTTATATTTAGCCTCATAAAATAATACTCCCTCCGTCTCAATACAATAGTCTTGTTTATCATTTTTGTTTGTCCTAAAACAATAGTCTTATTTCCATAAATATCACTGTAAAATTACTCTTACTTTTTTATTTTTATTACATAATTGCTATTACTTTTTACACTAATACACTCACAAGGACAAAAAAGTCGTTTATCTATACTTTTTTACCAACTATCAATATAATATCAATATTTTTTTAATCTCGTGCCCTATCCAATTAAGACTATAGTTCTGGGACGGAGGGAGTAGTAAATATACTAAAAAAAATAGTTATTTTTCTTATGTTCTAAAAATTTGTTTTTAATATTTGTTTAGATAAATATAAGAAAAATAAATTATAGATTTAAAATTGAAATTTTAAAATTTATTAGAAGTTTGGGGCATTTTAGGTAAAATATCGTTGAATAAGGACCGATGACGGGATTAGACGCAAAGTTTATAAAATCAGAAGAGAATTTGACATAGGAGATTTTGCACAATATTTTATGAAATCACGTATGAATTTTGTACTATTTAGCCAAAATTAATTAATAAAAATTTGAATTTAATTTTTTTATAATTTAAAATAGAAGGTTCAGAATTAGGGTTTAGTAGATGATGGAGCATAGCAGAGCAGAGCAGAGAGCGAGCATGTGCAGTGAAAATGGGGGTTTCAATATACTCCTATTTATTAATTAATTATTTAATTTAAACAAGAGCAATAAATGAAACGCGGTTTTCATCAACAACAACAAGCTAAGCTTCATCTGATCTGAGCTGACTTTGGAGGATATACATACATTATACATACATACAATTATACATACATACATACATACATGCATACATTGATTTAAATTTAATGCCCATTTGACTCTTTTTATTTATTTTATTATTAATTAATTCCACCATTATTCAATTAATTATTAATTAGGTCAGCCTCTGTACATACATATATATATATATGAATGTATATAAGAAGACCTTTGTCTGATACCCTTGTCGTCGTCTTCGTCAGAGTCTGAAACAATTATAACAGAAACCCTAATCCCCAAATTAATCGATCATGGGGAGGCCGCCGTGCTGCGACAAAATGGGAGTGAAGAAAGGCCCATGGACTCCCGAAGAAGACATCATGCTCGTCTCCTACGTCCAGGAGAACGGCGCCGGAAACTGGAGATCCGTTCCCGCCAACACAGGCCTCAAGAGATGCAGCAAAAGCTGCAGACTGAGATGGACTAATTACCTCAGGCCTGGAATTAAAAGAGGAACCTTCACTGATCACGAAGAGCGTATGATTGTTCAGCTCCAAGCTCTCCTCGGCAACAAGTATGTCTTCTCTCTCTCTCTCTCTCTCTATCTATGATTGATCGAGGAATTGAAGTAATGGATTGTTAATTAATTTGCAGGTGGGCGGCCATAGCTTCGTACCTTCCAGAGAGAACAGACAACGACATAAAAAACCACTGGAACACGCACTTGAAGAAGAAGCTCGACCGGATCCATCCCGGGTCGGGCCACGCCGACCGGGCAGGGCCGCCCTGCCCGATCTCCCGCGGGCAGTGGGAGCGGCGCCTGCAGACCGACGACATCCACACCGCCAAGCAAGCTCTCCAGAATGCTCTCTCCCTCGACGACACCGCCTCCGCCTCCGCCGCCGCCGGAAACCCTAATTTTGACGTTGCGATCTCGAATCCGCCGGAGAGGACGCCGTACGCGTCGAGCACAGAGAATATTGCCAGGCTGCTAAAAGACTGGGCGAAGATGAAGAAGACGACGACGACGACGATAGTGAAGAACGAGTACTGCCCCGACTCGAACCTGCAATATTCGAGCTGCAGCGCCGACGAGATTGCTTCTCCGGGGATGGATTTGGAGAGCGCTGCGGCGGAGGCGGTGGCGGAGGCCGCCATGGCTGGGGGATTTGAGAATTTTGAGTACTCTTCAATGTCGGACGAGTTCTCCGGATCCGGGTCGCCCAAACCCGACCCGAATGCCGTTGTGGACCTTGAGAATTGGCTGCTGGATGACCTAGGGATCCACGGTTTGTTCAGCGACTGAATAATTAAATTTGTATTATTATTATTATTATTATTATTATTATTATTAAGATTTATATACTTATTATTTAATTTGGTAGTTTTTTTTTAAAAAAAAAAAAGGGAAAAATGGAAAAATTATTTTCTGGGCCAGACATTTAAGGATGTTTTATTTATTCATCTATTTTGTCAAATATATATGGCCAGAAATTGTTGATTAGGACTTATTTGTGGGTTATTTTTAATTTTAATTTATAAATAGTGACATATATTAGTATATTTTAATTAGTGATTATTGCATCATGTTGGGGGACCATCTTCATCTTTACCTTCAATAAAATGATGGATAATGATTTCACTTCTATAATTAAAATGTTACTTATGAATATATAGTAAAAAAAAATAAAATAAAAAAAGAAATTATTTGGGTAATTCTTATAAATGAACTATTAATTTCTAATTCCATTTATTTAAATGTAATTATTTGTGGTTTGGTAATTGAGAGCAATAATTAAATTTCATTAATTAATGTGTGCTGTACCCCTAAAAATAAAAGAAATAATAAATGTAATTAAATGGTGGGTTTGTGAAGACAAGAGTGTGAATTCCATTTAATACAAGACAGTACATTGATTATAGTATAAATTTTATTATTTTTATATTTCTAAATTTAACTTGACATACAATTGTAGCAACTTTTTATTCATGAAATAATTAATTTTACGTGTCCTATTTATAGGGGTTGGTAGATCATCATTACTGATTCTACTCTGTCAGATAATTCAATATTTATTATTTATGCATCCTAATTTTTTAAACCTGAGCCGGCAAAAATTGATTCGACACTATAATTCGATACGATCCGATATAAAATAATTGTGTTTGGGTCAAAGATTTCAATTCAATTGTGTATACGGATTGGTACGAATCCGACACGATAGTAAACGGGTCGGGTTAGGGTTGAGGCTCTCAACTCAAACTCGACACGACATAAAATAATTGTGTTTGGGTCAAAGATTTCAATTCGATTATGTATGCGGAAGATTTCAATTCGATTACGTATGCAGATTGATACGAATCCGACACGATAGTAAACGAGTCGGGTTAGGGTTAAGTCTCTCAACTCAAACTCGACACGACAATCTACCTGATTATAATATATTAATATTGATTAATATATTTATTATATATATAAAATAATTATAATTTAATAATTTTTTCATAAATTAATTTAAATTGAGTTCAATTTTAAATAATTCAACGTAATTTACGCCCAAACCAATAAAAACTACCATAACACGGCAACATAACAACGTATTTTTTCATAAGGTACCTGCATTATTTGAACAAATTGATATTTTTAACTCTTAATAATAGTGATAAATCAATTTTTTTAATGAAATATAAAAATCAAATTTTAAATCAAATCTCATTATTAATTAATTTTCAAACGTAAAATAGAAAATCAAATATTTTTTTTATATTATATTAAAAATTTTAGACATCACATAAACACTTATTTATATCATATTGAATATTTATTAATTTTTATTATTCAAAATTCTAACCCTACTTTTAAATTTACAATAAAACAAATAATAAAAAAGTTAGAGGTATTAGTAATTGAATAAAATATAGTTAAATTTGTAATTGTAATTAGTATTTACTAATTATTACTATATTAGGAAATGTGACTAATTTTGTGGGACGACCAAAGGAGAAAATGTGGACTAATTTCAGTGGACGGAAGGAGTACTATGCTGATTAAAAATCTTGTTCCACTTAAATATATATACATTTAGCAGATGAATGGAGTAATTTTTGATATGATGTTTTGTGAGAGAAAAAATATATTTTATATGATATTTTCGAAAAAATTAAATTGTGTTAAACTTTTTTAGAAATATTATGTAAATAAAAATTTAATATTTGATTTGATATTTTTTTAGAAAAATATATATATGTTATTATTGTTGATTAATATTATCAATTTTTTGTAAAAAAATATCTATATAAATAGACTTACTTTTTACTATTTTTATAATTTTAAAATTCTAAACAAAGTATTATTATTATTATTATTATTATTATTATTATTATTATTATTATTATTATTATTATTACATAGGCATTAAAATTCAAAATTTCTAATGAAAAAAATTGACAAACACAATTAAATACACTTGAATTTAGCTAAAATTTAACGATGACGAAATGATGCAGGGTTCTTAGAGCATACACTGTGTGGCCTTTTAAAAATAAAAAGGCGTCAAAAGGCATATGTGTCCGTCGAAAGAAATGCGTGTCCAATTTACTTTTTATACACCGAGGGATGAAAATAATAGATATCACATAAATTGCACAATGGTCCGAATTATCAAAATTTTCCTTTCCCTTCGTCTTCGCCAATTTCTTTTGCCGCTGAAAATTTCTTCCCGATTTCGCAGCAAATCTTGCATCACTATCATCGACACATCTTTATCTCCAATTTCTTTCTTTAAACTCCGGGCACGGCTAATCGCTCACGTCCTCTCCTCTCGTTGCCCTTCGTTTTTCTACTCTCACAGGCTGGTGGATTGGATTTCAAGATCAAAATCTCTTCAAAAAATAGCTCAAATTCCTAGTTCTTAAAAATTAAATATTTTATGATTACTTTAGAAAACCAAGATTCGAAGGTTTGAAACTGTTTGTGCACAAAAACTTCATGAGCAAGAGAGTGGTCACCTGTGTGTGCTCCGGCGATTTTGACGTGGGTTGGAGATGGTATAGGGAGAAAGTGCCTGCACAAAGCGATCTTCCAAGGCTTCGATATTTTTTACATCGAAATTTAAGCTATTGCACAACTATAAGTTTTGAATGAAAAAAAAAATTCCTCGCGTCAGAGGTGAAGTCCGGTCGAAAGATAGGTCACTCCACTGCTCTAATATGTTCAAGTGATCATTACAACTCGATGGAATTCTAGTTATCACAAACATTTTGGATTTGCTCATTTAGTATTTTTGTTTAGCAAAATAATTTTTATAAATATTATTAAAAAAATATATAATATATTTCCTCTGTCTCAAGTTAAAATGTCATTTGGGTGTTTTTGTAGTATATTATGAAATAATAGTATTTTATTAGTCAGTAGAAGTGTGTTAAGAGTTTTTGATAATTTTATTATTTGACTTTATTTATAAAGTGATTGTAAGTGTAATTATATGTTTGTAATTTAAGTAAAAGTTAAAGAGTATTTTGATATTAGTGTATGATTGCTTTTCTAAAATAAAATAAAAATAATATTTTGAAGTGGGACAGACGAAAATAGTAAAAATAATAATTTGAATTGAGACGTAAAGAGTATATATTACCACAATATATAATATATATAATCAACGGACGAGATTTAAATAATGGACAAAAATTTCATTTAAAATCGAATTTAATTTTGACACAATAATTGTAGTATTATTTGTGGGCTTAATTTATTCATTTTAAATACGAAATATATATATAGATATATATATATGTAATTATACAAATTATTTATATTTTAGTGTATGAATCATTTGTAAACTAAAAAACTACATCGATTTTCTAACAAACCATTACATGGAAGAAAATATAATTTGCAAACATTATATTATTGATCATATTGAAGAATAATCTGACGAAATTCAATCAGCTAAGAATAAAGATTATAATCGAAAAACTTTGAATCCCGGTAACTTCTTAAATTTTTTCTTCGATTACATATTTCCACAGCATTTTCCAATTCCTGTAACAGTATTTTTATATGTACAATCACTACAAATAATAATAATAATAATAATAATAATAATAATAATAATATATTTGTAACGAAATTCCGTCTCTGAGATAATTTCATCATTAATTAATATAGCAATCTTGTGTTCATAGACGATTGAAAATGTTCTCAAGGTTGTCTATCGACGAAATTCGTAATATAATATACGTGATTTCATCTCTATTATTATTATTATTATTATTTCATTCTAAGATATGTATAATTAACACAATCTACACAAAAAATGAAGTGATGTTGTTTTCTAATTTTTTTAATATGTTTTTTATTTATAATTTTCATAAAATTAATTTACTAAATTAATATTACGTAAATAATAGTATTAAAATTGATTTGATATTTTAGAAAAACTATAATTTAATCAATTTTAATTATGCAAATCAAAGTTCATTAAGTAATATTCAAAGTTTAGAAAATGGTAGTATAGTTAACTGTAACGGAAAAAATGTAGGTGATAATTTAGACAATTGTAATTGATAGTTAGAAATTGTTAGAAAATAAACATATAATCAAATATGTTAGCGGAAGCGAAATTTAAACAAACCTCTAGCTATTACAAAAAATAGATTTGTTCTTGAGATCTTCTTCTTCAAGAAGAGTAGATTGGAACCGTGAGAAGATGGTGTTGTCAGACTTTGGAACCCTTGTGAGGATGTTGCCAAACTTTGGAAACCTCCGAAGATAGCGCCAGATCGTGGAACCATAGGACGATGTTGCCAAACCCTGGCTCTCAAATAGCGATGGTGTATTCTAATTTTCTGAGAGTAGGTTTAGTAACCCGTATGTGAGAGTATTTATAATAAAAAAGAGAAACCGTCTATCACGATTTTTCTGCAACTTCTCACGTATATTTTGAATGTGATAGATTTAATGGGAGAAAAGTGAGTCACAATTTTAGGTTAGTTTAATTATATAAGATAATTAAAAAATAATCAAAATTCAAATATGATTAATTAATTAATTAAACTAACAGAAATCGCATACATTAATTACTTATGTTATTTGCGATATTTAGTTAATTTTAATTGAATTCTACCAATTTTGTATATATATATATATATTGCTTATTTATGATTTGAAAGAAAATAATAATAAAATTGGAGGAAAAAAGAACGAAAAAACCTAATAACTAAGAATTAATTAAAAGGTTCAAAAGCTCAATTATTATAAAATTAGGGCAAAAATAAAAATAAAACAAAAAAAAAAAAAAAAAAAAAGAAGAAGGGAGGAGGCGCCACATTCATATACAAAGAGGAGAACACAATTCAAAAT